GGGGGGGGGGTCATCCGTCGTCGGCGGTGGCGCATGAACTCAGTCGACACCGACATCTTCTGCTGTAGCTGCTCTAACAGAGTTTTTTATAGCGTGAAAGCACCTCCAGGCGCGCGCTGATTGCTTCAGGTCCTTGCGAAATAAGGTGGAATTTTGGTTAACGGTGGTGGCCTTCTTTCTAGACTTAGAACCAGTACGAGTGTAGCGGATTGCAATCCACTTACTCCAAGAATAATTACAACCTCAAGCCGAGACTCTTCCGTTTGATATCTAGACTGTATTTCTCGGGGGGGCGGCAAAGCCGCCTAAATCTAAATTCATAGGTTTTCCTATCTTTATTGCAAAACCTAATTAAATGTACAACTACTGGTAGTCCAGCCACGTACTGACTTCTTGTTCAAGTGTAGCCACATCATTGTGTGATCACACCATCTTGTGTGACTTGCACTTTTCATACCAGGGCACGTGAAACCTCATTACATCCTCCTACAAGCTCACAATCAAAGCGACAGCCTTGATTCACCACAAGCAGCAAAATACTATATTGCTGCTTATTAAAGAGAATGTAGCTCCTCCACAACAGTCTGTTGAGACGTTTGTCTGTTTCTTTTACTACACTCGTCATTCATGGCGGTCATTAGTACTAATCTTGATTTAGTTGTGGGAATTCTCGCATGAAACACAATATTGTTTTTTTTCACTTTGGGATGTGATCTTATGCCTTCTTAGCTTTGACCGTAAGAATTCAAATGTAGCGCTGTGCTATTTTTGTCTTAAAGACTGCACATACTGTCACATCAGCAAAACTCATTGGTGATTATTTTGCCTGTGGCATCTACTTGCAGCTTTTGCAGGCTTGGCTTCAGAAATAGTGTCTCCTACTTGGCGCATGACGCTCAACATTTTAGGATGAACTCCATATTTTCTAAACCGAGCAACCGGGATAATATCTGTGAAGTAACAATGTCTGCTCATCCTCCCCCCTCAAGACCTCCACTTCTTAGTGGTCTCAATGGAATACGAGGTTCCGCTCTGACCTTATACAAAAAATAAGCTTTAGTCTGTAGAGGTGTGAGTCTTGTTAAATATTTGCCACCACATCAAGCCAGCCCAGCTTAGACTTTACAACACCGATATATTCTGCACAAAGTATACCTATCTCGGCATTCTCTGCGTCATATGTGGTTACGACGTCGCTGCGCGCATGGCGCATGATCTGTATAGGCCTTGATCAGCTTAGATGTACTTTAGACTCTTTCATGTCAATTGGGTTTCAAGTGGAGTAAAGCGCAGACAATGGCAAATTTCGAAGGGTCAAAGACGGCATGAAAGTTCATTTGATTCGAGAGAAACGGAGGTGAAATACGCGTGGAGCTATCTCTCTCAGCTTTAGAAGAGGCATAAAAAGCCGCTCCCCAGCACAGCTGTCTGCGAATCTTTACAATGGTGAGGGGCGGCGTCATGTCGGTAATTTGCACTGTTCTTATTCAGGTAGCTGGCCTGGCTAAGCCACTTCCTTAAATTCCGCTGTAACAGAAGAACTGGTCAATCGACGATGGCCTCGATCTTTGCGAAATAAGCTTGCGAGACATGCACTCCAATACAAAATGCAGAAAGCAGATTCCGCCGGCATCAGAAATGCATTTTTTATGGTGACAAACAGTTTATTTTGGCGCATGTACTTGCGCACTGCTCGCAATTGTCAGATGAGGATTTCCGAATCCAACCCTCGTGCGCTGTACAACGATGGATGAATATTTCGCTCGAATAGGTCCGTGCATCTGCACAATGCGGACTCAATTGCT